CCATGCCCAGGGGAACCAGAACCAGATCCCACCTGTGCAAACCCCCACAGCTGTGGAAGGTTACATTTTTTCCTTTTTTTTTATTTCTTTCTCCCAGGGACTTTTGCTCCCTTTTGCTCCTCAGAGATGGAATGAAGGTGCTCAGGGGACACAAGGTGTGTTTGGGATGGGGATTTGTTGGGGTTTTATTCTTGCTTGGGATGGGGATGGGGATTTGTTGGGGTTTTTTTGGCTTGGGATGGGGATGGGGATTTGTTGGGGTTTTTTGGCTTGGGATGGGGATGAGGATTTGTTGGGGTTTTTATCCAGGGCTGATCTCAGTGTCTGGGGGTTTTCCAGGCAAGGGCAGGGATCTGGGGGCTTGGCTGGGCTCAGGGATGGGTTTGGGGCCAGGCTGCTGCTGCTGTGGGGACAATTCACAGCCACACCAGAGCCCTGTCCTCACTGCTCCTCCTGCTGTGGGTGAGTCTGAGCTCCTGACACTGGGGTCTTTGCAAAATCCCAGAACCCCAATCCCTGACCCCAATCCCTGACCCCTCTCTCTAGGGGCACCCTCACCCTCAGCTTGGTGTTTTAGGGAACACCCAGAACCCCAATCCCTGATCCCTCACCCTCTGCCCAGGGGAATGCAGGACCCCAATCCCTGACCCCAATCCCTGTGCTCACTGTTTTAGAGGAAATCCAGGACCCCAATCCCTGACCCCAATCCCTGTGCTCACTGTTTTAGAGGAAATCCAGGACACCAATCCCTAATTCCTCCCTCCAGAGGGACCCTGACCCTCAGCTTGGTGCTTTAGGGGAAATCCAGGACCCCAATCCCTGATCCCTCACCCTGTGCTCAGTGCTTTAGGGAGATCCTGGGACCCCAATCCCTGACCCCTCACCCCACTGCCACCCCCAGGCCATCTCACAGGACAGCTGAGAGCCCAGGAAAACCCCAAAAACCCCAAAAGCCCCAAACCCCTCTCTCCTCCACCTCATCCCTCCTGCAGCTGTTTCCTGCTGCTGCTGCTTTGGGGTTTTTGTTCCCCTTTAACCCACACCCCACACCCACCCAGACATCCCACTGTTCCCACAGCTGCACCCAAGGGGGAATGGTCCAAAGGGTGGGAAAAGCTTTTGGGATTGTTTCTGGGATTGGTTTCCTTGTCTGCATTGTTTTCCTCATTCTATACACCCCAGTAAAGAACTGCTGTCCCTTTTCCCCTGTTTTTGCCTGAACCCCCCAGCATTTCAAAGCTGCAGAGCAGGGGATTTTCCTGGGATTTTCCATTCCAGGAAGTTCCTGCCCTCCTGGCAGATTGCTGTCCTTCCAAGCAGGACAGAGGGATCCACCCCAAGGCTGGGCAGGAGGAGGAACCGAGGGGAGCAAGGAATCCCTGGCTGGCTGCTGGCACTGGGAGTGCTGCATTTCAACAGGGCTGCAGAAATCCCACAGCCCCACCCCTTTTTTTCTCCCACCCCTTTTTTCTCCCCCATTTTTTCCCACCCCCCCCTTTTTCCTCCCCTTCCTCTTGCTTTTCCTTTTTCCCCCTTTCCCCCCATTTTTGCCCCAAATTTCCCCCTATTTTTACCCCCCTTTTGTCTCCTTTTCCCCCTCCTTTTCCCCATTTTCCCCCCGTTTTTCCCCCTTGTTTTTCCCCCTTGTTTTTCCCCCATTATTTTTTCCTATTTATTTTCCCCCGTTATTTTCCCCCCGTTATTTTTTCCCCCGTTATTTTTTCCCCCATTATTTTTTCCCCCGTTATTTCCCCCCCGTTATTTCCCCCCCGTTATTTCCCCCCGTTATTTCCCCCCGTTATTTCCCCCCGTTATTTCCCCCCATTATTTCCCCCCATTTTTGTCCCCCCCATTTTTGTCCCCATTATTTTTCCCCCATTATTTTTCTCCATTATTTTTCCCCTCTTATTTCCCCCTCGTTATTTTCCCCCCCATTATTTTCCCACCATTATTTTTCCCCCCATTCTTTTCCCCTATTATTTTCCCCTTATTTCCCCCCCATTATTTATTTTCCCCTATTATTTATTTCCCCCCATTATTTATTTTTCCCCATTATTTATTTTTCCCCCCATTATTTATTTTCCCCCATTATTTATTTTCCCCCATTATTCATTTCCCCCCATTATTTATTTTTCCCCATTATTTTCCCCTATTATCCCCCCCCCATTATTTATTTTCCCCCCATTATTTATTTTCCCCCCATTATTTATTTCCCCCATTATTTATTTTCCCCCATTATTTCTTTTTCCCTTTTCCCCCTTTTCCCCCTCTCGGGGCCCCTCCTGCTGCCAGCCCGGGCTGGATCCCACACCCAGCTGGGGCTGCCGTGTCCCTGGAGCTGGGGCAGGATCCGTTCCCATTTCCCCCCCAAAGGGAGCCCAGCTCCTCCCAGGGGGTCCCTGTGCTCCCCTGCCTTGGGAGGGGGCTCCAGGCAGCCCCAGCCCAGCTCCTGCACCTGTGGCAGAACAAAAACTGAACAGGAACAAAAATGAACAAAAATGAACAAAAATGAACAAAAATGAACAAAAATGAACCCCACGGTCAAACTCTGAGCCCTGGAGCAACCGTGAGGGACCCCAGGGACATCAGGTGACCCCAAAATGACCTTGAGTGACCCCAATGACCTCAAATAACCTTCAGTGACCCCAAAATGACCTTGAGTGACCCCAATGACCTCAAATAACCTTCAGTGACCCCAAAATGACCTTGAGTGACCCCAATGACCCCAAATAACCTTCAGTGACCCCAAAATGACCTTGAATGACCTCGAGTGACCCCGCTCAGAGACTCAAAAAACCTCAAAACCCAAAAATGACCTTAAATGACCCCAATGACCTAAAGTAACCCCAAAATGACCTTGAATGACCTTGAAATGACCCCAATGACCTCGAGTAACCCCAAAATGACCTTGAAATGACCTAAAGTAACCCCAGTCAGGAACTCAAAAATCTCAAAATCCAAAATTGACCTCAAATGACCCCAATGACCTTGAGTAACCCCAAAATGACCTTGCATGACCTTGAAATGACCCCAATGACCTCGAGTAACCCCAAAATAACCTTGAAATGACCTAAAGTAACCCCAGTCAGGAACTCAAAAATCTCAAAATCCAAAATTGACCTCAAATGACCCCAATGACCCAAAGTAACCCCAAAATGACCTTGAATGACCTTGAAATGACCCCAATGACCTGAAGTAACCCCAGAATGACCCCAAAATGACCTTGAAATGACCTAAAGTAACCCCAGTCAGGGAGTGAAAATTTTCAAAATCTAAAAATGACCTCAAATTACCCCAATGACCTAAAGTAACCCCAAAATGACCTTGAATGACCTTCAAATGACCCCAATGACCTGAAGTAACCCCAACATGACCCCAAAATGACCTAAAGTAACCCCAGTCAGGGACCCAAAAAATCTCAAAATCTAGAATTGACCTTGAATGACCCCAATGACCCAAAGTAACCCCAAAATGACCTTGAATGACCTTGACATGACCCCAGTGACCTCAAGTAACCCCAAAATGACCTTGAAATGACCTAAAGTAACCCCAGTCAGGGACTGAAAAATTTCAAAATCTAAAAATGACCTCAAATGACCCCAATGACCCAAAGTAACCCCAAAATGACCTTGAATGACCTTCAAATGACCCCAATGACCTAAAGTAACCCCAAAATGACCTTGAAATGACCCCAGTGCCCTCAAGTAACCCCAGAGTGCTCCTGAGTGCCCTCGCTCAGGTCTCAGTGGCCCCGAGCAGCCCCGTGAGCTCCTCAGCCTCAGTTTCCCTGCTCTGAGCCCACGGTGGCTCCTCGGGGCTTTGTGCTCCCTCCCTTGTCCCCCTGTCCCTCTGTCCCCCCTGCCTGGCGCTCTGGGGGTGCCCTGGGTGTCCCCAAGTGTCCCCAAGTGTCCTGGGGCTCCTCTGGGTCCCTGCTGGGCTCCGGGCCCTTGGCAGCTCCAGAGCCCTGGGGACACCGGGGACAATCCCAGGGACACTGGGGACAGGCCCAGGGACACCGGGGACAGCAGGGACAGTTCCAGGGACAGCCCCAGGGACAGCAGGGACAGCAGGGACAGCTCCAGGTGACAGAGCCCAGCAGGGGCTCAGGGCCTCTCCCCTGTCCCACCCCAGTGGCACTGGGAACATTGTCCAGATTTCAATAATTTGGGATTTATTTGCTCGCTGTTATCAGCAAAATTGGCAATTCTTGACCAGTTCTTGATCATTGAATACAGAGCCATGGATTACTCATGGACTCAAAGAAAGATCAACAACTCCTTATCCCTATTGATAATAAATTTAAAAATTCCACGAATTCTAGTCTAGAATTGGGAGGGAGATAAATTATGGAATTCTAGAATTGTGTGGGTTTATTTATTTTCATATATATATATATATTTATCTATATATATACACATATATGTACATGTGTGTGTATAGATATATATGTGTGTGTGTATACATATATAATTTTTAAAAAGATATTCAGATATTTATATAATATATATAATGTAATATAATATATTATGTATAATATATTAATATTTATATATTAATATAATAGTATACGAGAATATATTATGTTGTATATATTATGTTATATGTAAATATATAATAGATATATGTATTTCTATTATATATTTTTAGATATAAATATAAAAATAATTTTAATTTTTTTCCCCTAAAATTGCTATGCAAGAACTCTCAAATTCTTCAGAATATTCCCATGAATTCCCTTGGATTCTCTTCCTGGCTGGTACCTGTGTGTCCTTCTTGTCCCTGGTGGATCAGAGCCTTTATTCTGTCATTCTCTCAGAATATTTTTCATTACTTTAAACCTTTCCCTGGCAGCACCCAGGCTCTGAGCTGGAATTTAACAGAAAAATGACAGAACAGTCCTAAACCAGCCCCAAAATCAGCCTGCACACGATCCAGGAGCCTGAAATCCTAAAAGATTTTTTCCCCAGGAGTCACAGAAGCACCACAGCACACAGAGCCTGTGTGTTCCAACAAAGGAAATTTTATTTCAACCACAAAACTTTGGTTTGGTTTCTTTCTCACTGCCACAGGGATGGAACTCCAAACAGAGAAACTCTTGGTGGGCAGCACACGAGCCTGGAAACAAATAATAAATAATAATAATTGTATTAATGTCAGCATTTTAAATTTCATTACATTTATTAAAGTTATACATTTTATAATTATATCAATTATTAATTTTATTAGTGTTTGTAATATGATGAATATTAATAGAACTTGTGGACATTAATGAGGTATCTGCAAACAAAACCAGCACTTGAACCTCAGAGCTCAGCTGCTCCCTGGGTGAACATTTCCCTTCTGCTTTTCCTCCTTCTTTAAAATGTGAAAGGATCAAACCCTGCTGGGACAATTGTACATTAATGTCACTGCCATACTTCAGTCTGAAAAAACATTTGGTGAAAATCTCCACGTTTTCATCAGTGATATTTTCCAAACTGGGGTTTGAAAGGAGCAGGAGGAGCTGATCAAAGCCTGTGACACAAACTGCTACATGAAAGTAAAAACACAATTAAAAATACAATTCAAAACTTTGTAAAACACAGTTCCAGCCTTGCCATTCTAAGTGAACCTGTTCAGTTCCCATTAAAAAAAAATTACAAGGACAAGAATCAGTTTAAATAAAAATCTGCTCTTGTGAAAAACCAGCTCACCCTACAAAGAAAATTCCACCTGTGTAAAACCCTCACTCCCCAAGAGACAAAAAATGTAAACTCTGTAAAAAGAGAAAAATGTGAGAAACACACATTGGTCATTGCCAGGCAATTAGCTGAGTTTCATTAATTCACTAATTAATTAAAGTCACACAGAGCACCTTCTAATAAAAGGAACTCCATATAAAACAACCCTGTAAATAAAAATTCACCTTTTCTACAAAGAAAGCCCCACATGTCTCTGTCTATTACTACACCCAACCAGGCTAATTAACTCATTAATTACTGAGATCATTCAGGAGAGCAGAGACCTGCAGGGTAAACCCAGCCCAGGATCCCATCCCAGACTGGTTTGGACTGGGAGGGACCTTGGAGGGACCTTGGGGCTCCTGCAGGGACACTTCCAGGCTGGCCTTGGGCACTGCTGGGACCAGGGGCAGCTCTGGGAATCCCATCCCAGCCAGGAATCCCTTCCCCAAATCCCACAGAACCCATGGAACTCTGGGAATGCCTTCCCCAAATCCCATAGAACCCATGGAACTCCAGGAATGCCTTCCCCAAATCCCACAGAACCCATGGAACTCTGGGAATGCCTTCCCCAAACCCCACAGAACCCCACTCCAGGAATGCCTTCCCCAAATCCCACAGAACTCCAGGAACCCCTTCCCCAAATCCCATAAAACCCCACTCCAGGAATGCCTTCCCTAAATCCCACAGAACCCCACTCCAGGAATGCCTTCCCTAAATCCCATAGAACCCATGGAACTCCAGGAATGCCTTCCCCAAACCCCATAGAACTCATGGAACCCCTTCCCCAAATCCCATAGAACTCCAGGAATCCCTTCCCCAAATCCCACAGAACCCCACTCTAGGAATGCCTTCCCCAAATCCCATAGAACCCATGGAACTCCAGGAACCCCTTCCCCAAATCCCATAGAACCCATGGAACCCCTTCCCCAAATCCCATAGAACTCCAGGAACCCCTTCCCCAAATCCCATAGAACTCCAGGAATCCCTTCCCCAAATCCCACAGAACCCATGGAACTCCAGGAACCCCTTCCCCAAATCCCATAGAACCCATGGAACCCCTTCCCCAAACCCCATAGAACTCCAGGAACCCCTTCCCCAAACCCCATAAAACCCCATCCCAGGAATGCCTTCCCCAAACCCCATCCCACTGCTCACGGGTGCTGGGAATGTTCCCCTGGCTCTGCCCCATCCCTTGGGCTGAATTCCCCCTTCCTCCTCCTCCCAGATTGATTTTTGCAGCAGTTCATGAGCAGTAATTAATATCCAGGCAGGAGGAAGGAGAGCAGGGTTCCCACTGCTTGGAGATGTTTATTATTTATTCCTCTTTAAGCCTTGTTAGATTAATCCATTTTAAATTACCCCATGCTGCCAGGCACAATTATTGTAATTTATTGGGATCATCCTGGTGCTTTATTTCCCTCGGATGTGAGCTGGGGGCTGCTCCCCCAGCGCTCCCAGGAAGCTGCAGGAGCAGCATTTCCTTCTCCAGAGGGAACAACCCAGCCCAGCCTTCAGGCCACACTGATTCCTTTTTAATTTCCAGCAGAGAGGAATCATGGAATGGTTTGGGATCCCCTCCCCTGTGCAGGGACACCTTCCTCATCCAGCCTTGGACACTCCCAGGGGTTGGCAGCCATAGCTGGGATTCTAAGGACAGAATTCCTGCTCCCTGAACCTCTCCTGCCTCATTTCCCAGGTGGGAATGGCTCCTCCTCAGCCATTCCTCAGGTTTTCCAGGGAAAAAAAAAATCCTCCAGCTCTGCCCTGTGTCAAAGACTTCACCTCATTTCTTTAGGAAAACCCCACGTTTTTGTTAAAAGCTGCAGCTGCCATTATTCCATGTAACTGCATGAGGGGCTGGGAGTCCATCAACAGCCACTGTAAATAGCAGCACCTTAAATAACACCACCTTAAATGATATCACTAAATAACACCACCTTAAATGATATCACTAAAATAACACCACTTTAAATAACACCACCTTAAATAACAGCACTTTAAATAACAGCCTTTTAAATAACACCACTTTAAATAAAAGCACTTTAAATAACACCACTTCAAAAAATATCACCTTAAATAATACCACCTCAAATGATATCACTTTCAATAATATCCCCTTAAATAAAATCACTCCAAAAAAATGTCACTCCAAAAAAAACCCACCTTAAATAATTTCATCTTAAATATCACTTCAAAAAGTTATCACCACCTTAAATGATATCACTTCCAATAATATCGTCTTTAAATACCACTTTCAATAATGCTGCTCTGACCCCAGCACCCCAAATCCTCCCTGCACTGAAGGGTTTCATCAGAGCTCCCAGGGGAAATGCAGCCACCAGGAAAAAATGAGCAATTTTTAAATGGAGGAGGGAAAAGGGGCTCTGTGGATGAAAACAAATGATCCTGGACCAAAGGATGGCCTGGGGACAGGGACACAAGGGGAGCTTCTGCTGCCACAAGCCTGCACTGAGCTGAATTCATCAGAGCTCAGCTCCTACCCCAATTATGAACCTCCCTCAGCAAGTCAGGGCATGGCATTCAGTCTCCTCTAAGAGCAGCCCAAATCCCAGCCTTTCTCTGTGAGTTTTCAGCTCTGGAGCTTAGGAACAATCCAACAGAATCACCTCAGTGCTGCTCCATCAGATCTCTGTTATGTGAATTTTGTGCTTTTGAATTCCAGGCCGTGCCCTGCCAGCCTGTGAGCAAATAACACCAGGATATTCCCTTTTCCTGCCATTTACAGAACTCTCCATACCACCAGGATATTCCCTTTTTCTGCCATTTACAGAACTCTCCATATCACAAGGGTATTCCCTTTTCCTGCTATTTACAGAACTCTCCATACCACCAGGATATTCCCTTTTTCTGCCATTTACAGAACTCTCCATACCACCAGGACATTCCCTTTTCCTGCCATTTACAGAACTCTCCATATCACCAGGATATTCCCTTTTCTGCCATTTACAGAACTCTCCATATCACCAGGGTATTCCCTTTTCTGCCATTTACAGAACTCTCCATATCACCAGGATATTCCCTTTTTCTGCCATTTACAGAACTCTCCATTCCCTCTCCTTTCATGAGCAGAGGGGGAAACTCTGGAGTCGCCAGGGGCAGTTTCCCAACAGGGAAAAAACAACCTTTAAATGTTATTTAAGCAGTCCCACAGGGCTCCATGAGCTCCTCCAAGCTCTGGCTGTGCTGCTGAGGTCCCTCCATGACCCTGGCAATGGAGAAATTTCATTTCCATGGGTAACCAGGCCAGCCAGCACAGCCCAGCACCCCAGGCACGTCCCACAACATCTGCACTTGCTGCAGGAGAAACACCCAAAAACCAGGAGAAACCAGAACCAGCAGGGCAGAAGCACAGGATGGATCCCTCACACTCCCCAAGCCCTCAGACTGCCCTGCACATCCAAATCTCTGCTTTTCCCTCTGGAATACCTGACCACAACCCACACCCAATATTTCTGACACCTGGCAGATTAGGGCCTCGTGTTTACAGTGAAATAACCAAAACCCAGGAGAAACCAAAATTCCAGCAGTGTAGAACCCAGGGGCAGAGCCCCTCCTGCCCCTCAAGCTCTCAGACTGCCCTTGGAAATCCAAATTTCTGCTTTCAGCTCCTGCTTTTTCTCCCTAGAATGTTTCACCACAACCCACATCCAAGATTTCTGGCACTGGACACCCCGAGGCCTCGCGTTTGCACTGAAATGACCAAAAACCAGAAAGAAACAAAACCCAGGAATGTAGAACCACAGGATAAATCCCTCACGCTCCCCAAGCCCCCAGACTTCCCTGGAAATCCAAATTTCTGCTTTCAGCTCCTGCTTTTCCCCCTGGGCTGTTTGACCCGGGCAGACCCAGCCCTCCTGGCACTGTGGTTATTTTAAACACACTTTCAATAAACTCCCCAAGTTGATGCAGTTGGAGACCTGCAAATAAACGAGCTCATTAAACACCACTGGCACTTAGCAGCATCTCTGGTGGCCAATCCCAGCTCGGGCAGGGCTGTAATTTATAACTTTGATGCCCATTTAATCTGCTCATAACCATCAATCTCTGATTTTTATTGCCCCGTTCTGCAGCCTGAGCAGAAAAGCTGCTCCAATTAGGCCCCCCCAAAGCGACTCTCACAAATAAATTCTGACTTTAACATCCCACAGCACAACTGCCTGGGATCCATTCCTTATTTCAGAAATAGAGGAGCTGGGGAAGAGCTTTGTGATGGCAAAAGCAGCTCCCAAGGGCTGGGGAGCAGGACACCAGGAGGTTTTGGGGTGTGACATCCCATGAGTGACCCTTCAGAAGGTGGGGGATCCCATAGAGCTGCAGCTGGCCCCAGGTTCAGCCCCCAGCAGGGAAATGGGGTGGCTGGAATGATGCTTGGAGCAGGGGAGGCTGCCAGGAAAATGAACCAGAGGGAGCCCACGAATACCCAGTGGTGCCAGGCTGCCACTGATCCATCCCCAGTCTGAGGAGCTGCTGAAGGAGGAGCTGGAATTGTCATTTTCCCCTGGACACCAGCCTGGCTCAGAGCTGGAATCTGCACCCTCTGGAGCATCAGATCCCTTCTGCAAGGCTCTCCTGGGGAAGAGCATTTCCCACTGAGGGTGAAAATCCAGCTTTGGTCCCAGCCAGGAAAACAGAGGGAGGCACCTGAGCTCCTGATTCCTGGGAATGCCCCTGAGCTCCTGATTCCTGGGAATGCCCCTGAGCTCCTGATTAATTCCTGCAGCCCTGGGAATGCCCCTGAGCTCCTGATTCCTGGGAATGCCCCTGAGCTCCTGATTCATTCCTGCAGCTCCTCCAAGGGAGCTGCTCTGGGCAATCTCTGGTGTGTCCATAAAAACCTCAGGCAGGGATCACAGCAGCAGCTCTGGAGCTGCTGCATCGAATCCAAGCTGGGTTTTCTACCTCAAAAGCACAGATTGATCCCCTAGAAAAGCCCCACTTTGGGAATGTGAAACCTTCCTGGCAGTGCTGGGGCAGGGGATTTGCTCCTGAATCCCTTTGGTTCACTGGGAGGCCAACTGCTAACTCTGTTAGGCAATGTTGCAGTGATGGATTCCAAAAGGATGTGCAGGGCAATCAGGCTCTGCTCCTGAGGGCACTAATTGGGTTAAGCTCATCAACAAACCCTTGAGAGCAGCAGCCTGGGAAAGGGAGAGCAGGAAGTGTAGGAAAGGAGAAGGGAAAAAATTATTCCGTGCAAAGGGGAAAATGTGAGTCTGTGGATTGTGCCCTTCATCTGACACCCTTAAAGTGACCAATGGGAATAGAAATGGCACAAAAATGGATGGGTGGGGCATTATGGAAGTGCCAGAGTCCTGGAATGGTTTGGAGGGACCTCAAAGCCCATCCAGTGCCATGGCAGGGACACCTCCCAGTGCCCCAGGTGCTCCAAGCCCAGCGTCCACCCTGGCCTTGGCACTGCCAGGGATCCAGGGGCAGCCCTGGGGAATCCCATCCCAGCCTCTCCCCCCCTCCCAGCCAGGATTCCTGCCCAGCATCCCTGCCAGCCCTGCCTCTGGCACTGGGGCTGCTCCGAGCCAGCCCAGAACAATTCCAGGGCAGGAGGAGCTCCCTGTGCCTCCAATATCCCAAACAATTCCAGGACAATTCCAGGGCAGGAGGAGCTCCCTGTGCCTCCAATATCCCAAACAATTCCAGGACAATTCCAGGGCAGGAGGAGCTTCCTGTGCCCCCAATATCCCAAACAATTCTAGGGCAGGAGGAGCTCCCTGTGTCCCAAATATCCCAAACAATTCCAGGACAATTCCAGGGCAGGAGGAGCTCCCTGTGCCCCCAATATCCCAAACAATTCCAGGGCAGGAGGAGCTCCCTGTGCCTCCAATATCCCAAACAATTCCAGGGCAGGAGGAGCTCCCTGTGCCCCAAATATCCCAAACAATTCCAGGGCAGGAGGAGCTCCCTGTGCCCCAAATATCCCAAACAATTCCAGGGCAGGAGGAGCTCCCTGTGCCTCCAATATCCCAAACAATTCCAGGGCAGGAGGAGCTCCCTGTGCCTCCAATATCCCAAACAATTCCAGGGCAGGAGGAGCTCCCTGTGCCCCAAATATCCCAAACAATTCCAGGGCAGGAGGAGCTCCCTGTGCCCCAAATATCCCAAACAATTCCAGGGCAGGAGGAGCTCCCTGTGTCCCCAATATCCCAAACAATTCCAGGACAATTCCAGGGCAGGAGGAGCTCCCTGTGCCCCAAATATCCCAAACAATTCCAGGGCAGGAGGAGCTCCCTGTGCCCCCAATATCCCAAACATTCCAGAACAATTCCAGGGACTGCCCCAGCAGCCACCTCTGCTCTCATTCCCCATTTGGAGCCATTACAAAAGGAAAGGGCTGGATTTGCTTCCCCTGCAGCAAAACAAAGCCCAGAATTCCAAATTCCAGCAGTACCAATGAGAGATTTTCCCTGGGTTCAGCTCTGAAATAACACTGGCATTACAGCCAATCCATCATCTATCACTGAATCCATGTCAGAATCCACAGGCAGGGAAATCCATCCATGCAAACGAGGAGCTGCTGGATTTCCATGGAGCCTGGAGTGCCACCTCTCCCCTCCAGCTTTCCCTGTGTGTATCCCTCATTCCTGACACCTTCCCTGAGTTCTTTAATCTAAAACCCTGGGAAATTTGCTTTAGGGAGCTCTTCTAAGCAATACATTTTCTCATAGATTGAGAAGTCAAGGTTTGCTTTGGATTTCATCTTCATGGGGGTCTGGAATGCAGGGTGGGCAACGAGGGACACCCAAAAACCTCCTCTGGCCCAACAAATCCAAGCTGATTTGTCCCTACTGCTACACTGTAAAATAAACCCCAAAATCCATATACAAAAACATAAAATAATATTAGAAATCCATTTAATGCTTACCTGCAGACATTCTGGGAATAAAGTTGGGTTTTTAACGAAGTCCTGGAGTCTGGAGTTGAAGGAAATTTCCATCAGGATTGAGGGGACACCTGAGATGTCCCTCTGGGTTTGCCCCAGCCCCAGATGAGCATTTCCCCCCAGCTGCCAGGAGGCTGCTCCTTCCCTGACCTTTGTTTGATATATGATATCAAATATCCATGATTATCATATATTCCACCCCATTGCAGGTGCCAGCTCCACCAGAGCTCAATCCCTGCCATTCCCAGCTGTGCCCACACACACAGAGCTTTGTAAACTCGTTAACAACTCCATTAATTAAGGGCTAACGTTGATTGGGATCATTTAAGGAGCAGCCCCGTGTTCACAGAGTCACAGCTGCAAAATCCAAATCCCAGGAAGAGCAGCTTGGGCTGAGGGAACAGAGCAGGAATTTTTTCCCTTCTGTTCCCTGGAGGCCCCAGCTTTGGCTTGGAGAACAGAGAGGTTCAGCCCCAAATCCCAAAGAAATGAGGAAGTTTCCTTCCAAAGGTCAGGCCCAGCTGGATCAGACAAAACTCATCCACCAGAAGCTCCCCAAGCCCACCCAGGACCATGTGGAGAAGCCACAGAATCCCAGGAGCCCTGAGTTGGAAAAGCCCTCCCAGAGCATGGAGTGCAACCTGTGCCTGATCCCACGTCCAGGAGCTCCTGGGACACCTCCAGGGATGGGTGTCCAACCCTCCCTGCCAGGCCCTGAGCTCCCTTTCCATGGGGAAATTCCTGCTGGGGCCCAACCTGAACTTCCCCTGGTAAAACCCAGCAGAGAACACCAAGACTTCACCCAGCTTGGAGATAAATTCATCCAAGAGAAGGCAGGGGTCAAGGTGCTTTTCCCAAAGACTGGACTTTATCCCATGGAACCCCAGACTGGTTTGGGCTGGAAGGATCTTAAATCCACCCAGCCATGGGCAGGGACCCCTTCCAAAGCCCTGTCCCTGGGCACTGCCAGGGATGGGCACCCGTGCCAGGACCCACCCGTGCCAGGACCGAGCCGTGCCGGGACCCAGCCGTGCCAATCAGGCACCAAGCAAGGCCCAGCACCGCAGCCCCGTTTTGAGGTTTTGATCCCAATTTCCCCATTTCCCGACATCCCGAGGCAGCGCGGGGCGGTGCTGACCTCTAGTGAGGGATGCCTGGAAAAGGGAGAATTCCCGGGGATGAATCTCCCGTCCCACCCGCCCGGCTCCAGCCCTGCCCCTCCTTGCAAAGGCTCCTCGGGCACTGGCACAGAGCAGATTCGGAGCAGCTGGCACAACAAATCCCCGATTTCGAGATATTTTCAGTAAATGTGTCCATCACTGCCCCGTGAGGGTCAAAGCCCTTTCCACTGCAGCTCAGGGGGGAATTTGTCCCGCAGGATCCTAAAGGGTGCAGAGAATTCAGCAGTGAAAGTAAAACAGGAACTGCAGGGTTGGAAATGTCGGCCTGGAGGGAACAGCAAAGGAGCTGCTCCTCCCACCAGAACTCAGTGTCAGAGCTCAAGAGAAGCAGAAGAGCAAAATTCAATTTAAATCCCTCCCTCCCAGCAGTGGAGGCAGCTTTGCCTTTGGATCCCCAAAGAGAAACCTCCCCCAAACTCTCCACCCTTCTCAGGGAACAAAATATCCCAACAGCCCCCAACAGCAACAACAGAACCCTCGACAAGCAGAAACCACAGGCGCCAGTGTCCAGTGGAAGGTTTTATTTAAAACACCCAGAATTCACAAGTCTGCAGGGAAACCACCCAGCCAAGCCTCAGTGCTGGCCCTGAGGAGGCAGCAAGGACCAGTGAAAACCAGCACAGCTCAGGGGCAGGGAGCTCCCAAGCTGCTGCTCTGCTTCCCCACAGCGTCCTTCAGAATCCACAACTTTCACCCAAAAGGGCCTTCAGGAAAATGAGAGTTTTCCAGGGACATCAAAGAAATCTCCACTGAAAAGTCTCTTTTAAAACCAACTTTAAGACTGTGAGCTCTGCTTAAATTAAAACTATTAAATTAAGACTATCCTAAATCAAATGCAGCATTTTTATCCTAACAGACTCCACTCTCTGCAGCCAAACACACAGCAAAGGCTCCTGAGCTTTTTGTGGCACACAGAATTCCCTGGAGCCATCCCAGGGACATTCCCCATTCCTGGGGCTCCACAAACCTCCTGCTCCTGCCCTGTACAGCAAGATCTGCTCACTTCAGGGACAATTTATCCAATTACCTCGAGGAGTAATTAAACCAAAGCAAAGTGCACTCTGCAGGAGCTCTGGGAACTCCCTGCTCAGCAAGGAAAAATGAGAGAAATGAAATTCCCACTGAAATGATGGGAAAATGATGAGTTCCAGCATGGAATTCAAGGCCTTTCCCTCTGGAAGCAAAACCCAGCTCTTGCTTTAACTCTTTCTATAGTTTTTAGTCATTAATTCTTAAAAATAAATCAGTTTTCACATTATTCAGGCTTGGAGAGGTTATTGCTGTTCCTGCCCTGGGATGAATTCCAAGGTGAACACTTTTTGTCCTTCTGGAATTGGAGATTGCTCTGCAACACTCCCTTGGGAGCTGCTCCCACCTTCTCCTCTCAGAAGAACAGAGCAGAGCAATGAAGGTGTCCATGAGGAGAGGCTGGGAATCCCCACCTCCATCCAGGCCCATCCCAGCCATTTCATGATGGACTTTTCCCCTTTCACAGCCAGAGCTCAAATCCTGGCCCTGGCCCAGCTACTCACGGAGCATTTGGGGCAGGAGGCCGGAGCAGCTGCTCAGAGGTTCCACAATTCCCCATCAGGATCTCGGCACTGCCCAGGGAGGAGGAGTTTGAGGCAATGTTTTAAATCTGGGATCTAGGCTGGCAGCAAAGCACGGAGCATCTGCTGGTGCAGGGCTCTGTGTCCCAGGAAATTCAGAGCATTCCTGCGTTTCCACAGGGCCAGGCTGCTATTTCAGCACACTTCTGTGGGCCAGGGTTGAGAAACAGGAGGAGTAATGAGCTGGGAGCTGCAAAAAAATAAAATTAAGACATTCCTCAGCTTCTGAGGCGGGCCAGCTTTTGATCCCTTTCCTTCATTCCATTTTTAATTATTGGGAGATTTCCTTCTGAGACCAAATCCCAGGAATTTCACTCAGAGGTGGAGTTGCTGGCTGTTAAAACCAGTCAAATTCTTGAAATAAACCCCTGATTATTCTGGTTTTGAATTGTCTGTGACCCCCTGTTAGTGATACCTGAGCTCCAAGCTTGGACAGGTATTTATTCCTTAAACTAAAGGCATCAGCTTTTGGCAGCAATTTTGCCAAATCATCTTCGTTCTGCCTTCTGAGCCTCTCCTGCTCTTCTGCTCTGCAAAAGAAAAGTGGCAAAAAGGTGTTTGCCCTGAGGGAAACCCTGCCAAGCAGGGAATGACTGGAATGTTATTTAATAGTTTAATATTGTTATTTTAGTAGCTAGGAAATGCTCTGGGGTATCAGGAGAATGAGCCTGAGATGTGCAGGGATCAATAATTCAGTGGAAAGAAAGAGAGAGGCTGATTTCTGCAGGTTCCTTTTATTTCATTCCAAGATTTCAGTAGAAAGAGAAACCTTTTGGGTTTTCCCAGATTTACAACGTGCTCAGGGAGTTCTGTAACAACTTTTCTATCTATTAAACAAACTTTCATCCTTAAAATAAACATTACAATACAAAGATAATCCAGAAGGCAATAAAAGACTGCTCAGCAGTCTCAGAGTTCAGAAATCTACAAAAAAAAAAAAAGGTCCCTTTGAGCATCTGTGGCTCTTTTTGCATTGTGTGGAAAGGACACAAGCCCAAAGCTGTAAATACATTTAAAAAGTGGATTTTTCATTTAGACAGTGACAGAAGCAGCAGCAGTGAGCTGTGGGAGCTCTGGGTGAGAACACAAAAATGCTTTTGCTCAGGAAGCTCCACCTGTGAGCACAGGGGGCTGAGCTCAGCTTCACTCCAGGCGTGGGCAGCAGAGCCCAGGCAGGCCCTGAGCCCAGCAGGAAAAGGAATTTTGGCATTGCTAAAACACAGCAGAGGCTGAGGCAGTGCTGGAACCCCAGGGCTGAGAGGATCTTCCAGAGAGCTCCAGAGCAACCTCAGCCACCTGGCAGGGGCTTTGCTACTCAACTTTCCTTTCTGAAAGAAACAGGGGGACAACAATTACTGCAAAGCCTGGCCTGGGGCAGCCCAGACCCCACAGAAACCCTGGAACTGTTACACAAGGGTGACAAACACTGAGATGGGGCAGCCCAGACCCCACAGAATCCTTGGAATTGTTCCACAGGGGTGACAAACACTGAGATGGGACATCCCAAACCCCACAGAATCCCTGGAATTGTTACACAAGGGTGACAAACACTGAGATGGGACAGCCCAGACCCCACAGAATCCCTGGAATCCCTGAGTTGTTACACAAGGGTGACAAACACTGAGATGGGACATCCCAAACCCCACAGAATATCCCTGGAATCCCTGAATTGTTACACATGGGTGACACACACTGGATTTGGGACATGTCAAATGCCATCCAGGCTCCAACCATCACATTTTCTATCACATTTCAGTTGTGAGGCCACTGAAATAAAGGCAGGCAAAGAGAACAGTGCCAGGAAAGGACACCTGGATAATGCTGCCTCAAATATTGACTCACAGGAGGCAGGATATGAAACCCTGAAACAGACTGAAGGAAATAAATCCACCAGAAGTCAGACTGGAGAAATGATCTGCTTAATTCCTTCAGGACAAACCCTCCCCAGGGCCACTGACATTTGCTGGCTCTGTACTCACTCAGAAGCAGCTGCTTTTTGCAGTTTTGCCCTTTTCTTTGCAGACCAGTTGAGATCACCACCTGTAAGAGCAGCAATGAGCCCTGAGACCTTTAGAGCTGGGGTTTGGTGGCTTTGGGACCAGCACTGCCCCCAGGAGCTCTCAGAGCACTGAGAAAGCAGAAGAATGATTTCACAGAAGTAGAAACTGAGGTAAGGAGAAGCTGCAGAGACTCACCTGTGAGGTGATTGACAAAGTACAGCATGACCACAGCTAGCAGAGACACTGCAAAAGCAAAGGGGCAGCTTTAGTGACAATAAATGAACAGCTTCAACCCACAGCCAAGATCTTCGTGGTAGCTCTAACTCAGAGGAGTTTTCTGCTTTTGTAGATCTCCCTGTGTTCACAGCATGTGGTAATTCAGAAAGGATTTTAATTTTACACTTATAATTTACAGTTTAAAAGCATCATTTCTCTACTTTCACTCAAGTTTTTAAACACTGAAACTCTCCATGCTTCAAGGAAACCCCAAGCACTTCACTGGCTGTGAGCTCACCCCAGCACTGCCCCAGCTGACCCCTCTAGAAGAGCAATGGTTTCTGGTTTTCAGCAAAGATGAAGCCAAAGAGCCCCAGGAAGGTCCCTGAGCCACTCCCAGCGTGTTCCACACTCACAGCACACACAGGCACTGAAGAAGACCTCCAGGAACAGGTATCCCCTGGTGTCCAGGATCATGCCAGCTGCTATGGCAATCACTGCCAGGCCCAGGTTCTGGATGGACTGCATGCTGGGACAGAGCAGGAACAGCAGGGGTTTCTTTTCTCAGCAACATGGATTTTCATTTCCTCAGGAAAAGCTCCTCAGTGGCACTGAGCCCACTGGAGCTGCACAGAGCCCATTTGCTGGGACATGGGGAAGCCAGGGCTGGGTTTTGCAGAAGCTCCTGTGCCTCCCCCAGCCTCAGGCTCAGTCCCAAACCCCACCCCAGAGCAGGCAGGAACTCCTGCTCCCAGCCTGGAGGAGCTGGAACCAGGACTGGGCTGGATCTGCTCAGATCCAGTGGTTGCAGAGTGCCAGGGATCAGGGCATGGCTTGGGATGAAGGACCCTAAAGTGGGACCACTCCCACTGCCCCAGGTCAGCTTGGCCTGGGGCACTGCCAGGGATCCAGGGAATTCCATCCCAGCCCCTCCTCAGCCTCCCAGGGAGGAATTCCTTCCCAATGTCCCATCTCAGTCTCTCCTCCTTGAGTTTAAACCATTCCCCCTTGTCCTGGCACTGCAGCTCCTTGTCCAAGGTCCTTCCCCAGCTCTCCTGCAGGCTCCTTTCCCTGGAATCCCCAATTCCCAATCTCCCATTATCCCTGCCCTGTCCCTGTGTCCCTCCATCCCTTGTCCAAGGTCCTTCCCCAGCTCTCCTGCAGGCTCCTTTCCCTGGAATTCCCAATTCCCAATCTCCCACCCATCCCTGCCCCATCCCTGTGTCCTGTCCCTCCAAGGTCCCTCCCCAGCTCTCCTGCAGGCTCCTTTCCCTGGAATCCCCAATTCCCAATCTCCCACCCATCCCTGTGTCCCTCCATGCCTTGTCCCCAGCCCCTCCCCAGGTGACCCCACAGCCTCTCCTCCTCTCCAGGGTGGGGAACCCCAGCCCTGCATGCCCAGGGAGCCATGGAATACTCACAAGCCATAGGCAGTTCCCAGCTGGTGCTCGGGGACAACAAAGGCCACCATGGGCCACAGGGCACAGGCCAGCAGGGAATAGGCCAGGCCCAGCAGGCACTGGGGACACAGGGACACGGGGACAGGTCACAGCAGGGCCACCTCTGAGCTGCAGCCACAACAAACCCACACACTCCCCTCCCTTCCTCCCAAAATGAGCTCAAGAAATGCTCTGTGCAATGCAATTGTAAATAAATATCCACACCTGGAACGTCTTCTTCCAGGAATGATCCCTAAAATTAACTCTGTTAATTTAAATTAAAGGGCCTGAATGAGCACCCAGAGCTGCACCTCACTGGGAAAATGCTTGAAAACCAAAGTTTTTAATCCCTGCCCCACTGATGAGCACCACAATCCTCAGCTCCAAACAAACAGTTCAGGAAATCTGCACTCAATAATGCAGATTTTTACTGAGGTTCCATCCAGCACATCACAGGCAGTTTGAGTAACAGTAATAAAGTTCAGAAATAAACTAAAAGAAAACATTTTAAGAGAAAAGTGTGCACCTGGCACAGGAATTTAGTAATGCAGTGAGGAACCTTTTGCACCTCACAACACACAGAATAATTCAGTGCCAACCCCATTGCTTATTTTATATTTATGAAAAAAATATTGGATGTTTTATATCTATTTAGGTTTAACTCCCAGAAATAAATATTTGATATTTTAATTCTATTTAGGGCTAAATCCCAGAAAGAAATATTTGATATTTTATTTCTATTTAGGGCTAAATCCCAGAAAGAAATATTTATGTTATTTATTTATATAATAAAAATTTAAAATTTATATAATAATTTATTAATTCATATTATTTAAATAATATATTATAATACATATTATATTTATAATATATTATATAATTATATATAATTATATATAATTATATATAATTATATATTATATATAATTATATAATAATATTATAAATATATTTATTTAATTTATTAATTTATATAATATATTTATTTATATAATAAATATTCTGCTATTTTACATCTATTTAGGTTTAAATCCCAGAAATAAATATTTGATATTTTAATTCTACTTAGGTCTAAATCCCAAACCCAAGTATTTGCTATTTTATTTCTATTTAGGTCTAAATCCCAGAATCAATATTTGGTATTTTATTTCCCTTTAGGACTGAGTTACCATGGCTATCCAGGGGTTCCAGAAGGTGAAGGCCAGCATGATGTGTGAGGCCAGAGTGGTGACCACAGCACACAGCACCCAGATGATGTTCTTGCCAACCTTGTCCACCAGCAGGCCAAACACGGGGGACATGGGGGCTGAGATGATGTACACGATGCTGCAGGACAGGGAAATGCAGGATTTAACACCCCCAGAGTCCCTTGTTAATTCCAAGGCCAGGAGAAACAAAACATCCCCCCAAAAACTCCCAGGAATTTCGAATTCCCAAAGGGTTTGAGGACAGGAAGTGCTCAGCATCCAGCAGTGACAGACTCAGAGCCCAGCCAGGGTTTGCTGTGGGGTTTCACTGCTTTGGGCTTTGGCCTCGTCACAAATTCATCCTCAGACTACCCACACTGAGTTCCTTTAGTGCTGTCATTAAACTGCTTTTATCACTCAGAAAAGAATCACTAAATACTAAAAATGAAACCCTCCAGAGCTTTTTCTTTCCAGTGTGAACATCTGTTTTTAATAAAAAACACATCCACATTTCCCAGTTATTCCTTGGGTTGTGTGAAATTATTTCTCCACTTAAATGCAGCCCAAATCTCTTCCCACCTGCCCAGAGCCCAAAAAACACACCCTAAACCCTGGCAATGTTCCCTATTAAATCAACCACAATGTACCTGTTGATTGCACTGGCTTCTTGAGGGGAAAATCTGAATTTTTCAATAAAGAAAACCCTGAGGGAAGGAAAAAAAAATATTTAGGAAAAAGCAGACTTGAAGGACATGAAATCAAAGGTAAGTTAGATAAAGACATGAGGATGTCATTTACAAAAAAAATTAAATAGAGCTTTGACATAAATATCCCAGATTCTCATCTATAATTAATTTAGGAGCTTGCTATCAGACTCCACAGATTTTAATTTAAGGATCATTCAAATTACACTTTGGGGAACACATAAAAAGTCCATAACCAACATTTAACCCAAATAATGAGGTACTGGGCTGTAAATATGGAAGGAATCCTAGAGGATCCCAAAGTCCACCCCATGCTTTAAACCTGCATCCAGTTTTAATCAGGAAATCAAACATTCCTCATGCCCCTGAGTTCATAATTCCCAAAGAATGTGAAGTTTTTCAGCATTTGGGTTACAAGCTTGGTGAAATTCCAAGGGAATGGCTGGAAAAGTGAGTGGCACTTACTTCCCCAGGCCAATGAAAGGGAAAACTGCAGCGTAGTAACAGACACAGATGACAAAGATGAGCCATAAGGACAGGGAGAAATCCTTCACATCTGTCAGCTTGATCACCTCTCCTGCAATGGGGGCAGACACAGCATGGCAGCAGGCAGGATGAACAAAGCTGGGATTCATCCAGTGATCCCAAAGCCCTCCCACACCACAGCCCTGGCTGCAGATTAAAGGTCCCTTTCATCCAAACCACTCTGGGATTCTACTGGATCTCAAGTTTAGTTTATTTTTAATTAGCCTGAGCTGTCCCACATGGAAAACTCAACCCAGCAGACACTGGCAGGGAGGAGCTCCATGGTTCTGCACCCCTGCTAAAGGAAATCAGCTCCAAGGAAACACAGAACCAGTGGCACAAACTGCTGCAAAGTTTTGTTTTTATAAATAAAGCAGGTGGCAGAGCATCTGCCTGCTGAGCTGGTGTTTAAAACTAAAACTCCATGTAAAAATGAGTTAAATTAGGATTAGAAGTGTGCCAGAGTTGAGCAGCAGGCACTGAATGAGCTGGAATGCAAAGCTGGTGCAGGGTGGCTGCAGGGTCAGCCCCAGCACTCACCTGTTTTCCCCTGCTCTTTACACAGCAGCTTCTCTGCCCTCCTGTCCAGGTAAGCCAGGATTAGAGCACAGCTCAGTGAGAACAGACAGGTGACCCCACCTGGGGAAGGCAACACCCCATGGTCAGTGTAAAAACCTCGAGCAGTGATCTGGGGTTTTCCAGCCCAATTACACCAGGTTTTGTTGGACATGTCAGGTACACCAAGTTTAGCACCAGCTCCAAGGCTCAAGAGCTGCACAGCTCAGAGGTTCAGGTGTAAAACTGAACCCTGACATGTGGCACACACCAGCCTTGGAGCACAGACATGGACATGGATTTATTTGATTTCAGTCATCACCACCACTCCCCCTCAGCTCCTCATCTGCCCCTGGCAGGAACAGAAACAAACCTGGCCCCGTTCCCAACACCAAATCTCCACACCCATGGCTCTGGAGCCCCAAAATTGTTCAAATTGCCCTTTTACAATCAGATAACCACAGGCAAGCTTTGACACTCCTCAGAAATTTTTTCAAGCCTGTCCTTTGCTCAGAGGATGTGAAATATTTCATCTCCACAAGACACAAACTTGAATTTGTCAACTCCAAAAATGCCACAGCATTTCAGAAGCTACAGTAACCTGAGAGAAAATGAGAATATGATACAAAAGGTGCTGGAATTGCTCATTCTAAGCTCAGAGTTGTGCTGCTTTTAAGGGGTGAATAAATGCTTTAAAGTGATTAATGAATGCTTTACAGAGATTAATAAATCAGTGACACCAACCCAGAACATCACTGACCTATGAGCAGAGCCAGGCCGAGGGTGCTGGGACCAGCAGAGCCCAGGAGATCCTGCACTCTGGAGTAGATCCATCCCATAATATTCATGTTCACCGTGCTCCCCTAGGCACAACAGAGCCACGTGAAGAACCCAGCACCTCCCAGCTCCAGGGATTCACCAGGAGTGTTTATTAAAATGCCACCCAGGGGACAGCAGGGAAAAGGATCCAAGGGGTTCCCAGCTGGGCTGGTAACAAATCAATCCTTGCACCCAGGATACAACAGCACAAATTGAAATTTGTACAAGGCTGGAGGAGTTCCCACTGATGAGAAGGGCACAAACCCACATGCACGAGCTCACAAACTGAGCTGGATTTAACAGATTTGATGAAACAGGATTCCCAGCTGACAGGACCAGGAGAAAGCCCCTTTTCCCTCCTTTGCCCCCAGAGAAGGATCCATGGCTGCCACCACTGGTGAAGATCCCCCAGCCCCAGCAGGAAACACCTGCAGTGGTTGAGCCCCCCAAAAGGAGCCCCAAAAGAAGGGGCACAGCCCTTGTGTCCATGCCCAGCTGTGCTTGGTGCCCACTCACAATCCTGGCCATGCTGAGCTGCAATCCAAACACCAGGTTGAGCTCCTTGCCCTTGAACCAGCTGACTGCATAGGTGTTCTGGGCCACGGCCAGGGACTCGCCCCCAATCCTGCAAAACCAAACACAGCACTGCAGAAAGGGCCTGGCCAGGGCAGAACCCCAGAGAAACCTGCCTGTGCACAGGTGATTAGTGCCTGTCTATGGACACGGGGCAACAGAAAGCAAAATGGGAACGCAGTGATCGAAGAACAATCCCAGAGGTTTTGATTCAGCAACACCTGCAAAGTCCTGGTTTTGGTTTTCTGACTAAGTTACACAAGGGAAAGAACTGGAGATCCTGCATTCCTCAGCTCCAGAGGGCTCAGAATGCTCCAGTTTTGGCTCCATGTGGCAGCACTTTCCTAGGAGAGCTTTCTAGGCCTGGTTTTTGTCGTTTTCTAGATGGCCTTACCTCAAAGAGCACAAATCTGCCCTTCCAGACTCACCCAAATATGAACCTGCCCACTTCCATCAGCCAGAAGGTATTGAACAGTGCTCCCAGAGCAAAAACCACCTGCACAGCAGCAAAGGAACATGGTAATTGTGCATTTCAGGCATGGAACAGAGCAGAACTGGCTGAAAACAGGAACAAAAAGTATTTTCCCTTCCCACATCCATTTCCTGCTCTTTTTGGTTTTTGCTCCCTCTGCTGTTCATCATCTCCAGCCTGGCCCACCTGGGACTGTGTCATCCCCAACCAATTTCACATCAAACACACAAAAATGTGGATCCTTCCCACCATTTCAGCCACATTCCAAGGTTCCCCTTCCCAACAAAGCCCAGGGTTCTCCCATTCCAGTTCTCTAAAGTGAAACACAAACTGCAGGCCCAGCCCATCCTCTCCTTTGCACTCACCTGCCCAGCACACACAAAGATGCTGAATATTACAGTGCCCAACCTGCAAAGAGAATAAAATCACTTCATGCACAACCAGAATCCTTTTTTTTTTCCTTACAAAACTCTATTTTAGACCTGCAGCAGGGAAACAAGGGGAGGTGGATGGGCAGTTAAAAGGTCTGTGTCATAAATTGTGCAGCTCAATGATTCCCATAGAGAACAGGTAGTACAAGGGGCTGTTCTTGAAACAAATTTATTTAAGTTAAAAAAGAAGGGAAGCTCATCTATATTGTTAAAAAATCTTAAATTGAGTGGGAAAAATATTGAAGAGGTTTATTATAACCTTGAAAAGCTTTATATTATAAAGTCTAAACCTCCCCTGCAGTTTTAGCTCAGGGTTCCCTGCACATGAGAGCCACAAAGGCTGCACTCACCGGATCCCAAACACTCTGTCTATCAGGAAGCCTCCAAAGAAGCACAGCACCACGTTGGGCCACGAGTACCAGGCATAGAGGGCCATGAACTGGGCTGTGTTCACCTTCATGTCCTGCACAGCACAGGGGCAGTGGGAAAAACATTCCAGAGTGAGCATTCAGGAGGAGCCAAGCAGAAACAGCAGTTTCTGTAATCCACAGAATTCCTAGATGGGCTGGGTGGAAAGGACTTGCTTTGTTCCAAGCCCTTCCACTATCAGGGGGTGCTCCAAATGGCCTTGGGCACTGCCAGGGACCCGGGACAGCCACAGCTGCTCTGGGCACTGCCAGGGACCCAGGGGCAGCCACAGCTGCTCTGGGCACTGCCAGGGACCCAGGGGCAGCCACAGCTGCTCTGGGCACTGCCAGGGACCCGGGATAGCCACAGCTGCTCTGGGCAGTGCCAGAGATCCAGGAGCAGCCACAGCTGCTCTGGGCACCCCGTGCCAGAGCCTGCCCGCCCTCCCAGGGAACAATTTCTCCCGCAATCCCAAATCCCAGCTCCCATCTCCCCTCTGCCCCTGGAAGCCCTTCCCCGCTGCCGTGTTAGCCCATGCCCACACAAAAGCTCACTCTCGGTGTTTTTCAAAGCGCCCTGAGAGCGACTCACCCGCTGAACCTGCGTCTGCAGAGCGGCCGGGTTGTCGTAGCAGAAGTAGCTGCCTGCGGGGAGAAGGAGACGCCTCAGGGCTGTGTCCCGGCCCCCACACCCCAACCCCCCCCGCCACACGCAGCCCCCGGGCCCGTCCCGCACCGAATCCCAGGAAGCACATGAGGGCCAGGACGAGCAGGCGGTGCGGGAGGCGGCGGGGGTCGCAGGCGGCGGGCAGGGCTCGGGGAGGGCCGGGGGAGCCATGGGAGCCATCACCGCCCTCAGCGCCCAGCAGCGCCCGCTGCTCCTCCGCCATCGCGCCCGCCTCACGTGAGCGCCCGCCACGTGACCCGCCCGCCACGTGACCCCCCCCGCCCCTCACGTGACCCCCCGCCCCACACGTGACCCGTTGCCATGGCAGCGCCGGGCCGAGGCCGGCGAGGGAGACCCAGGGAAAAGGGAACGTGAAACGTGAAATAAATCTAAAAAATGGAAACTGTGAAAAACGAGTTTTTTACATTTAGTAAACTTTTTAAATTTTGCCTCGTTAAAATTTAAAAAGTTTACTGAAAAGAAAGTAGGAGACGGAAGTAAAGCCAAGAGCACACCTGCTATTCTGCAAACACCCTTTATTTACCATTTCTATTGCATCAGCCTGCTACATTGCCACAGACCCCCATGTCACCGTGATATTTTATGAAAAATCCCTTCACCAGGATTTTTTCTCCTGGGAAGCTTCAGCTTCTCCATGTTTTGCTCCTCTGGAATGTGATTTGGAGAACTGTTTATCCAGCATGTGAATTGTTTTTAATTAATGCCCAATCCCAGCCAGCTGCCCTGGAGCCCCTCCAAACACCGCGAGGCTTCTCCTCTCCAAAGTCATTTTTCTTGAGCTGTTTGCTCCAAAAGGTTCTTGCCATATTAGACAAACCCTTGAAAAAGCCACTTTGTTACTGTAAAAAGCTCCAGTCTGCCATCAAATTTCACCTTCTTGCACCAAAAATGACCTGAATCCCATGTACAGTATATAATACATTGCTCTCTGATTAAAAGATGCTCTTTTTGAACAAAATATACTCTTAGTGAGGCACAACCACTTATGATTGAAGCCAAAGGATTTATTTACCTTTCCAAGGTAGTTATAATTTATTTACCTTTTCAAGGTGTAGAAAGCAAAGGGCTGAGTTTTACCTGAGATGCTGAACAACACATTCACCTCCCAGCCACTCTGTCATGAATTTGATAAGGAACCATGGAAGAAAGTCAAAACAACTTCCCAAAACATGCAGGTCTCATGTTGTGAATGAGCTGCAGACTCCTCTGGGACATAAATCTCTTCATTTCACTTGATACATGTCTGTTCAGAGACCTGCCAAAAGAGAAATGTGCTATTAAATGAATCATGTTCAACTGCTCTAAACTTCTTTAGATTCCTTGAAATCTGAGCATCTCAGTTTACCACAGTGGCTGTGAAAAACATGGTCTGAAATTACAAGGCTTCCTTGGAAAAGCAGTTGTGCAACAAATTGGAGAGTTTCAGTGACAAACTCGAGGATTTCAGTGACAAATTCAAGTGTTTTTGTAAAAAATGAGAGAGTTTCAGTGACAAATTCAAGGGTTTTTGTAAAAACTCGAGGGTTCCAGTGACAAACTCAAGGATTTCTGTGACAAACTCAAAGACTCCAGTGACAAACTCGAGGATTTCTGTGACAAACTCAAGGGTTTTTGTAAAAACTCGAGGATTTCAGTGACAAATTCAAGGGGTTTTGTAAAAACTCGAGGGTTCCAGTGACAAACTCGAGGATTTCTGTGACGAACTCCAGGGTTCTTGTAAAACTCGAGTGTTGCAGTGACAAACTCCAAAGTTTCACTGCCACTTGAGGGAGCTCAAAGATAATTGTCCTTGCAGAGCCACCTGGAGTTTCCTGATTCCAGGGGGACAATTTCTATCCACAGGTCAAACAGGTAACTTTGGGGAGCAAAGCCAAATCGAGTCTGGGGTTGTGTTTATCTTGTTCTGTGTAACATCAGGCTCTTCATCAGAGAGTGAGAAATTACAGCCATGCACCCAGAATATTTAACAGGAGCAAAAGAAAGTTTTCCATTTGCTAATTCCCGGTGTTTGTCTTTCCCCCAGCCACCTCCACCTTCCCCTTGGCTGTCTGTGATGTTCCTGTGAGCTCAGCCCTGATTGCCACCTGCACTGCAATGAGTCTTTACATCCCAAATAAATACAGTGGCCTGCTCTTAAACTCAGGCTTTAGAATGTTGGTTACAGATGCAGTTGCTGCCTCTCCATAAATCAGAGCACTTGAATTGCCAAATGCTGTGGTTAACAGCAGCAAATGGAGGAAATGCTGTGGACAGGACTTTATGGGGGCCATAAAACCCTGGTGCCTGTGGCCTCCCCTCCTTGCACAGATCAGGTGCAGGGAGCACTCAGGACAGCAAACACTCCCAGGAAACAAGGAAGAATTTCAGGGTTCAGCTGCTCAGAGTCATTGCTGCCTCTGGGGAGAGGCTTCAAAACTGCAGTGAAGCAGGAGCCGTGTTCCACATGATTAAATTGGCTCCACCATCATTGCCCCATTATCCATTTTCTAATGGAAAACTCTCATGCTTTCCCCCCCAAAGGGTGAGGGATCTGTCATACACAGGCATGCAAACAGTTTTTAGTCCCTCCACGTGCTGAGGAATGGGTTATTTCAAACCTCTGTGTCTCACTCAAACATTCCTGGGTGTTTGTGCACCATCCCAGGTCTGACTTGTTCAAAGTGCTGGGAAGAGGCTGAGGGAGCTTTTCTGCCCCACAAATCTCTCTGAGAGCAAAGATCCTGGCCTGAGGAAGCTCCTGTGGCTGGGAGGGATCCAGTGCTGCAGCGAACAGCTCCTGCCTCTGCTGAGTGCCAGGAGCACGAGCAAGGTGGGTTTATGGCTCCTGGTGTTCATATTGCTCAATATTGCTCTGATCCTTCCTGAAACTCACAGCTCTTCCCAAGGGCAGCTGCTGCCAGGCTCCTTCTCCAAAGCCAGCTCAGGTCATGGAGTGAAAACACCCCCTGGAGAGTGTAGGAGCACCATCAATGATGTGCAGCTTCTCAGCCAAGGCAGGAGTGCCAGGAGATTTTTCTGATGTTCCAGGCCAGGCTGGACAGGGCTTGGAGCAGGCTGGTCCAGTGGAAGGTGTGGGATGAGATGATTTTAAGGTCCCTTCCCACCCAAACCAGTCTGGGATTCTGTGATTCTGGAATTCAGAGGGCTGTGGGGACTGTACCTGAATTTCTGGGTAACACCTGAACTTGACTTCGTGCACAACTTTCCCTTTGTGCCTGTTTTCCTCAGGATACACAAATTCCTGGTGGACTTTAACAGTGCTAAGTTCTAAAAATCCCCAGGTTATTTGGTGGAAATACTGAACAACGACAGTTCCTGAGAGCCACTGAGCATTTCCTGGATAGTTCATCTTTGAAAAGATGCCTTCTCAAAACATCTACACTTCCTAAAACTCTCCTGTTTCTTCCAGCAGGATGGACATGAAGGGTTTGGGGACATGAAGGGTTTGGGGACATGAAGGGTTTGGGGACATGAAGGGGTTGGGGACATGAAGGGTTTGGGGACATGAAGGGTTTGGGGACATGAAGGGTTTGGGGACATGAAGGTTTTCGGGACATGAAGGGTTTGGGGACACGAAGGGTTTCAGGACATGAAGGGTTTGGGACATGAAGGGTTTGGGGACATGAAGGGTTCCAGGACACGAAGGGTTCCAGGACATGAAGGGGTTGGGGACATGAAGGTTTGGGGACATGAAGGGTTCCAGGACACAAAGGGTTCCAGGACATGAAGGGTTTGGGGACATGAAGGGTTCCAGGACATGAAGGGGTTGGGGACATGAAGGGTTTGGGACATGAAGGGTTCCAGGACATGAAGGGTTTCAGGACATGAAGGGTTTGGGACATGAAGGGTTTGGGGACATGAAGGGTTTGGGACATTAAGGGTTTGGGGACATGAAGGGTGTCAGCACATGAAGGCTTTCAGGACATGAAGGGCTCCATAGCCCAGCCCTGGAATTTCAGAGGAAGCTCTGCTCCTGACTCAAAGGCTGGAGGGTGGTGCCAGCCAGCCTCAGTGCCCTGGGAATGGAGGAAGTTCCCACCCTGGCCAAGGGCTCTGCTCCCCTGCCCTGGCTGAAGGCCAAGGAGAGCTCACTGTCACCAGGGCTCTGCTCCCCTGCCCTGGCTGAAGGCCAAGGAGAGCTCACTGTCACCAGGGCTCTGCCCCCCTGCCCTGGCTGAAGGCCAAGGAGAGCTCACTGTCACCAGGGCTCTGCTCCCCTGCCCTGGCTGAAGGCCAAGGAGAGCTCACTGTCACCAGGGCTCTGCCCCCCTGCCCTGGCTGAAGGCCAAGGAGAGCTCACTGTCACCAGGGCTCCTTGTCCTCTGCAGCAGGCGGTGCTGGAAATGGGGGCAGAGGGAGCTGCTCCCTGGCAGTGCCCCTGGCATCCCTGCAAACACAGGGACCATCCCTGGGGGACACCCCAGGCCTCCAGCTCCTCTCTCCAGGCTCCTGCAGCCCCTCTCAGCTCTGTTCTGTCCCTCAGTTCCTCCATTCCAAGGCACATCTCCTGCCAGGCTCCTGCTTTAGTCCTGCCCAAGGCTGAGCCTTTTCTGCACATCCAGCAGCTCCTCCTCAGGCATTTCCTCTGCCCTCGAGTGGCTGAACTCTGCTGGAGCCTTTCCAAGACCTGCCTGGGGTGGGCTGGATTTCTTTCCTTCTCTCTGCTGCAGCCTGGAGAACTTTCCAAGCAAACAATTTGATTCAGTGGTCCTGTTGTTCCCTGAGCTTGAATTCCTTTGCTGACACACCTGATCCCTCACTTTCAAATTCATTCCTCCCCTCAGTGGAATTCCTTCTCACCAGCTCTCCCAGGCCTTGGATCTGAGGGAATTCAAGTCAATTCTATCCCTGTAGTTGACATGGTTATGTTAAATATTCTCATTGGGTTGAGATGGTTTAAAATAAAACCAAAAGTGAAAAATCACAATTATTCCAATAATCCTGAGTCATCTCCACATATCCAACTTTATCTCTGAGTATGAGGCTTTGCTTCATAACCCAAGAAAGTGATACCACAGGGAAAAAAATACAGAAAGCTCCAATTTTGAGGAAAAGAGAAAAGGTGGGAAAGGGGAAGCATAATCATTTCCTTATAGGCAAAGAATTGGAAACAAGCTGGAGAGGGGAGGAAAAAACCATTTCACAAGCTGATAATTCAAATTAGAGGACAAGAAATTCTGCCTAAGTATTTGTTAAAGTAAGGGGCTGGAGAGGGAG